TTTGTATTTTTCATCCTTTTTTGCCTTGAACTAATCGAAAGTTTTCTTCCAATAAAAAAATCAACTAGTTTTTCAGAAAAAATTGTTGATGCAGAGCAATTAAGTAATTTTTAAAAATACTTACATTTTATTCAACATCATCTTAGGGTCCGTTTGGTTCAACAGAGGGGAGGGGAGGGGAGGTGAGGGGATGTATTTTAATTAAACATATGTTTGGTTCATAAGAGGGGGAGGGGAGGGGAGGGAGAAGTTTTATTCAAATATATGTTTGGTTCTCAGAGGGAGGGGAGGGGTTTTAAAATTAATTTACCTTTTTACCCTTAAAATATTATAACAATCATGCTAAATAAATTTTTAAAAAAAAAAGTATTCATAAAAAACGTAGATAATTAAACACAAAATATTTAACATTTAAAATACTCTAAAATATCTTGATGATCAATGATCCATTTAATCCTATAACATATTTATAAGATTAAATTCTACATAATATATAACTCATACTACAATTATATATTGATATGTAATATAATACAACAAATTATAAAATAATTAAGTTATTACAAGCAAAATATTAAATAAAAATGAATAGAATAAAACACATGAAAAAAAAAGTTGAATCATAATAATAAAAATAATAGAGTTGCCATTAAACAAATGAAGGAATTATAATAAGGTGACAAAAATTAAGGTATAATCTATAACTATATATAAAGGGAATACTTTGTTTTGGTGTGACTTATTTTTCTATCATTTTTACCCTTGCTTTATTATATAATTTACTTAATCTTCTCATTATTAACTTCCACGTAACTTCTTATTATTACCTTTCACATATTGTATTTTTTTAAAAAATTATTTAAACAAAAAATATCGTTTATATTTTCATTCATGCGGATTAAAAAAACGGACAGACCGGCACTTTTGGACGCTAGTATTAATAAAGACAATTAAAAAATTTATTAAATAAAAATGAGGATAATTTTGTCAATATAATAAAAATACATGTTATCATAACTTCTCTCCCTCCTCTCCCCTCCGAAAACCCCCAATTCGGGAAACGAAAAATTGCTCCAACAGGAATTGTGATTACCCTCAATCCCCTTTCCTTATAAAAAATTGAACCAACCACGTCTATTTTAAAATATTTCCTCCCCTTCCTTCCAACCAAACATACCCTTAAAAGATATTCTTTAAATTCAAAAGTTTATTTTTTTCACTCGTTCTCTTATATTTTTATATAAATAATCACACAATACTAAGAGAGTATGGACCAATAATTTTATAACCTAACAAAAATGTAACAATATCTTCTTTTGCGCAAGTGTCTCTTATAAAATATTGAATGTGTCAATAATGTAAAGAATAGGTTAATTTCTCTAATTCTAGATTTCAATTAATATTCATCCTCAAATCTAAGGATCACATGGTGTAGCTCTTTAGATATGTTAATATAATTTCCCACCTCAATTTGTATTGTTCCCCACTTGCCTAAGTTTTCTCACATTCATCAAAAGCTCTTTAAATATAAAACAATATTTCCATCTCTATAAATACCACACTCACACCCTATCTTCTTCAAACCAAAACCTTTAACCCATCCTTTCTCTTAGCCAAACACCAATCATGGCATCAATGACCATACTACCCTTCTTTCTCTTCTTCTCCTTGATCACTTTCTCATTAGCATCAAACATACCAAGTGGTCGTAGTAACGAGGAAGTTATGACCATGTACGAGGAGTGGTTGGTAAAACACCAAAAAGTGTATAACGGGTTAGGAGAAAAAGACCAAAGATTTCAAACTTTTAAGGATAATTTAAAATTCATTGATGAGCACAATGCTCAAAATTACACTTATATTGTTGGGTTGAACAAGTTTGCAGATATGACTAATGAAGAATATCGTGACATGTATTCGGGAACAAGGAGTGATGCTAAACGTAGGATCATGAAAAATAAGATCACCGGTCACCGGTACGCTTATGACTCCGGTGACCGGTTGCCGGTGCATGTGGATTGGAGGTTGAAAGGTGCGGTTACTCACATCAAAGATCAAGGAAGTTGTGGTAAGTTATTTTTTCTTTCTTATAATTTTGAACTTTTTTTTAGGTTAGTTTTTGCTCCTTTCAGAAACAAGAGGTTACTTCTAGGTTAAGAACTTTATTTAAATTAACTTTAGCATTTTCTTTATATTTTTTTCACATCAAACTTTATATTTGCCCGATAAAGGCCACTTGCATATCTATATTTTTGTATAGAAACTTGAGACAATTTCTAGATGCGAAAAAAGTATTTTTTTACTTATGAATCATATACTTAACTTCTAAAATGGTTTATTAAAGTATTAATAGAAAAACACTGTCTAAAGAAATGTTATTGTAATCAAATTAAACTACTACTATTAGAAGGCAATAATACTCTTTTTTCCCAATAATCAAAATACGTGGATAGGATATTTTGGCTTTATTTCATGCATGTTGATTTAACTTATTTCCCATATCTTTGTTATTTAACTTATTTTTAACAATAGACAAATATAAATAAATATTGTTATAAGGAATTAAATCATAGGCCACTACACTCATTTAATTTAACTAATCTAGTGCAATTTAAAAAAAAAATGATTTAATAAATATAATTTATTCTACTTAACCTTAGAGTTTATAAATTTTGAGTATAAAACCAAATTTGATATCAAAATTTATAACTCAACTCACACTTAATTTAGACATGTTAGAATAATATGATTCAGACCTCTTCTAATTTAATAGAAATTTTGAGTTTCAATCCACTTTAAAAATTGCAACCACGCAAATTTTTGAAGGATATATGAAAAAAATTTAATGACTAAAAACACATTTGATCATTATTATTTGATTTAGGTAAAAATAAGTGTTATATATTTATTAAATATTAATTTACACAATTTTTTGAACTGAGGCAGGAAGTTGTTGGGCATTCTCAACAATAGCCACAGTGGAAGCTATAAACAAGATAGTCACAGGGAAGCTTGTGTCTTTGTCAGAACAAGAGCTTGTAGATTGTGACAGAGCTTTCAATGAAGGGTGCAATGGTGGTCTCATGGACTATGCCTTTGAGTTCATAATTGGAAATGGTGGCATAGACTCTGATAAAGACTATCCATACAAGGGACTTGAGGGTAGATGTGATCCAACAAGGGTAAGTACAAGAAGATAATACTAAAATAACTTTGGCACATTCTTTGATGTTTCTGATAATATATTTTGAGTTGTTGATTGATTGTGTCACATGTTCAAACAATAATTGATTTTGTAATGATGCAGAAAAATGCCAAGGTAGTGAGCATTGATGGATATGAGGATGTTCCATCAAATAATGAAAATGCATTAAAGAAAGCTGTGGCTCATCAACCTGTTAGCGTTGCTATTGAGGCTTCTGGAAGGGCTTTGCAGCTCTATCAATCAGTAAGCTTACTCGTAATCAAAATCACACAGATTGACTTAAACTGTCATGCTAATAAACATGGGTTTATGTATTATTTATTTTCAGGGTGTATTTAATGGTAAGTGTGGTACAAGCTTAGATCATGGTGTGGTGGTTGTTGGATATGGTTCTGAAAATGGTTTAGATTATTGGTTGGTGAGGAACTCGTGGGGGACTAACTGGGGTGAAGATGGTTACTTCAAGATGGAGCGTAATGTGAAAAGAACTTATACAGGAAAGTGTGGAATCGCAGTTGAAGCTTCATACCCAGTGAAGTATGGTCAAAACTCTGCAGTCGCTACTAATTCAGCTTATGAAAAAACAGAAGTGCTTGTTAGCAGTGCTTGAAACACCAGTATTATCTCAACAAGTGCTAAATTAATATGGCTATTGGTTAATCTTGTATATAGATTATTCCTTCCTGTGAAAGCTGCACATCTATCAGTTTGTACTGTGGCTTTCACTATCTTTAAATTTCAGTGTTTAATTTGAATTCAACCTGCTAGTTATGTTTTGGATTTATATAGACTTTTGCCAACACCCTGCACATCTGTTCTTCAATATGAAAAATTGGTACACTATTCAAAATGAACAATTCGAGTAAAGACTGTCCTGAAAGACGTCTAACAACAATCTAACCCAGTTAAATCATACATGACATGTTGCAACGAAGCAATGCAATATCAATCACCCCAAGTTAAATCAATTCTAACAAAACTGTTGTAAGTTAGAATACTCACTCTCTGTTACACCAACCACAGGCACCAGCTGCCACCGCTTATACTAACTTCACAAAATCAAGTCTACTACATTCAATATTTAGTGAAGGTGAAGTTTGCCAGCTGAATTATCTGAGCAGTGGTATATTAATAAACCTACATGGCATTTAGTGAAGTTTGCAAGGTGAATTTCCTTAGCAATGGTATGCCCATAAACCATCTTTCAAGAGACAAATTCATACTGATGGCACAAGTTATCATTTCATTAAAATTAAAATTTCAATGTATTCGAGAAAAAATCAATTACCAGTCAAAGAAAACTAGCATGTAGGCTGATTTCTAAAAAAGGGATTTCCTCAAAAGCTGAATTGAAGATGAAAAAGAAACCGTTTAAGAGATACATCACTACAGGGGCATTGCAAATACTGAAGGGAATTCATTCTACTCAAGCTACCTAAAACACGTTATTTGAATAAGAATTCAAGAATAAGATGCATTTGCCCATCTATACAGATATAGAAAAGAAAGGTAGAGGCATTAAGATAAAGAACCAATATAAACCACAATATCTCACCCCTAAAGCTAAATCATTTACTAGAGTTTGAAAAACATCCAGGAAGTCTAAAGTCTAACAATTTTTCAACATGGAATTGAATGTCCAGTTGTCCCTACTAGACCACAAAGTAACCCCTCTCAGATGCCACCACATCTTCATGTTGCTCCAGCTGCCAAAATTTACTTGTAAATGATGTCAAGCTACATGCAGGTCTATGACTTAAATGAAACAAATGAAGTTTCAGTTAAATTGAAAAAATCAGTCCTCCGAAATTTCTGCTGATGCTCTCTTCCCATCATAGCGCTAAAAGAAAATTAAACCAAACCAAATATTTATCATCAGCAACAAAGAAGTAATAATCATATAAAAAAGCACTAAATGACAATTTTGCATGAATGAAAATCTAAATTTACCTGTTTTCCAATTGAGAATGGTACATATTTGTACTTGATCATATGAGCTATCTGTCTCCTCATAGTAAGCGTGAATAGGACCACCCAGTAGAAGAGGAGTATCGGCCAGAACACAGGGACATCAAATGCACTGAAGAAAGTCATCACAAACGCAATGCAAAATGCCTTTGTGATTGAGTACCTGTTCACAAAGGAAAAGATTTTTCCTATGTAAATACGACGCTTCTTTATAACTTCAAAGCACAAACCCGAATAGATGAGCATTAAAATAGCATATGTTTTATATTACAAAATGATATTAGTTTCATGTAGTAATAAGGTGAATAGAACATTGTCAAACTAGTTTCAAGGCAGCAACGCAAGCAGAAAAGGAGAGACGTCAACAAGCATAAGAAACCTGAAAAGATTCTGCCGTCAACAATATCTCTTCCTTCAGCTTATAATAGTCACAGATATAAATACTAAATTGTATTATGGGCATTCTGTTTCAACAAAAATCAAGATTCTTGTTAGAAAAGAGATCACAGATGAAATTAATTTACTAATCTCACATTGTCTATCCTTTTAGTTCCACGCATGACTACAATCTCTTTAAGATAACCCTTCAAGGCTACAGTTTTTACAGAACAAATATCCTTATAAATAACACAACAATAGTAACTACAAGAATAACAAGTAAATGGAGCATAATATCAAAGAATTTGAAACTTCGGGTATTGAATTCCAAGCAATTTGTAAACTTTTGTTTGGATAACTAATTGTTTGAAAATAACACAAAGGTCCACTTGACAAGCATTTAGCTTGTTCCAACGGATGTGAGCTAAAAGATCAGCAAGAAAACACTAAGACAATTCACGGTGAAGTTAGTTGAACGAGCAAAAGGAGAGGGTCAATATTGTTAGACTAGGCTAACTTAGTTAGCACCAGACAGCATCCCATAGACTTGGCTGAACCACCTCAAGAGACTTGCTCCTTAGCTACACTACCAAATTGAGTATTTGCAGAGACAAATAAATAAAGGCATGAAACTGGTATTATTTGCAAAATGATTTGATTCCTACACATCGTCACGGTAAATATATTTTACACGGTCACTCTGAAGATGTTTTACACTGTCATTAATCATAAACATTACATCATTAAAAAGTTTGACTCTATCCATAATTACTTTTAAAGTAATTCATTTGATGGGTTATGATTTGTTGCCAAAGTAAGATTTTTCCAATATGCGCACAAATTAAACTCTTTGTGAAAATGGATTTTGGTTCTTTGAGTGCCAGCAGACATCATCAAACATTGAAGCTGAAGATGCAGACAATGAATGATAGATATCCCTTAAAATTGGGGCGGGAATTGAGTTGTGGTGGAAATTGGGATTTATCAGAATCAACATTCTTTTGAATATCCATTAGGGGATCCATAGGTCAAGATCAAATTACCAAATTCAAGTCACACAATCACATACTAGAGGTTCCAAATTCAGATTGGTTTAATATTTCTATCTAACTTTAATTTCATAATCTACCTCCACAATACAATCAACAAATTACAAATCGAACATATGAAATCAGAAATGAAAAAAAAAAATCAAACACGAAACCCTAGAAATCAAAATGTGAAAGGTGAAATTACCAGAACTTAAACTCAGGTAAACGACGAACGAATGGACGAAACTCATCCGAACCGGAGGTAGGAAGCGATGGACCATGATCAGCGTCGAGAATCTCCGGATCAACCTGAGGCGAAAGGAATCCGATCAAGAGGTTGAGGATGTAAATGCCGAGAGCGTAGGAGACAACGTAGAAGCCTTGCACCATGTAAACACGAAGCACGTACACCAATGCAACCACGAGGCAACCCAACCATCGCTGCCCCACGTGCGGCGTTGATTTATCGAGAATGTGTTGGTACCGCCGTGATGCCTCGAACTTCCACCGCGCTATGGCCGCTGCCGGAGATGCGTCTTCCGCGTTCATCGTTGGGACCCACTCACGTTTTCAATAAACACAATCTCTCTATCTGTTTCTCGATCTCTCCCCCTCTGTTTTGCGGGTCGAGTTTAGTCGTGGGCCATTTTCTCGTTTTTTTTTCTGTTTTATTGCTATCACGTGTCGGTTTGGGTTTTCCTCTTGTTTAACCCACTTGTTTGTCTCTGTTCGAACCAACCTTTAATATATGTTTTAAAAATCGTATCGGTTATTAATTCATTAATCGAATTACGGGTCTAAATCGAATAAAATTGCATGACTCAATTAAATAAATATAATTTTATAACATTATATAGTTATTAAATCGATCGAATTAGATGATTTGGTGTCTAAAAAAATCACGACACCTCAAATCAATGAAGCTTTTAAGAAGAGAAACTCTAGAATTCTGAGAAATGATATAGCATTTGCCAGTTTTGAATTGAAATAATACATGATCATGATCAATTTACATAGTTTAGTGACGGATAATAAGTTTCATGCAATGCAAGAACTAGTAATATATTATTTTACTTAAGGGAATAAGATGAATTTAAAAGGGAAGACACGCATGATTGTGAAATTTAGTAAACAAAACAAGTTTTTATTAATACTTAAGAGATCAAATTCGAAAATCTTCTTAAACATGTTTGTGTGTATTTACAACTTTGAACAACATTTTTATTATCGAAATCGAATGGTAATCCTTTAAACAAGGTTTCAATACCACTTTGAAACAAAACTTGAGTATATAGGTCTTTTAGAATAAATGTTGAAATCGAAATCCTGGATGAAGTAAAACCGTGAATTGTAAAGTGAAATTGAAAAGTAACTTAATGCAGAAATGGTACTTGAATGTAAAAAAAAAAACTTGAAATTTATAAATGGTTGAACACATACATACATTTTCTTCACTCATTTCTCAAATGCGCAGATACTTTGAGTTTAGAGAAATATGATTATAATTGTGGACCCCTTACAAAATGAATGTGAGTCCCTTTATATACTACTCTAAAATAACTACCTAAGAACGGCCTATTAACCCTATCACGACACATTTCAGTCCCATGCAGCAGTTTGTTACGACGAACATCCACGTGTCTTTGAGTAACTGTTTATGTTAAACCAGATCCCACTCTTTTAACACCATTCAAATATCTTAACTACTTTTACTAGTCATCAGGAATTGACTTCCTACGTCGAAGTCCTTTTGGTCGACCATGCTACGACAGCACACTTTGTAGTACTTTTCATATGCAATGCCCAAGTCAACATTATTTCTATTGTAATTATGAACTCAAACCTTAGACAACATAGCATAGTACTCAAGTTTACTAAGTCCTTGAACTCTTCAGGGTCCTTCGACCTACCGCTTCTTCGACCAACATCCTTATGGGTGACCCCCGACCTTGAGTCAGCTTGATCTCCCTTTGACTCCATATTACCTTGACTTTCCATGTGGCGTATTTATTGTTGTTCTATTAATACTTGCCATTTATAGTTAAGTCGAAAAAACCAAGGTAACAAATTGCCCCTCAAAAGTCCATGTTTTAATTTTGAATCAGACAAGAGAGACGTGGCATTTTTTATTGTATTTTTCGAAGACGCTTCATTTCTGCTGACGTCGTCGTCATCATTACCCTTTTCTACGACGCATTGTCATTTTCCATGAGATCCGCTCAAAATCTCATCATTCTCCTACTTCCTAGGAGGTCGTGGGTTTGCACCTCTACCATAATTGATCCCACTCACATCAACGGTGTGCTTCAAAAACCCACAAAAACGCTTCAATCACCCCCACCCGGACGCCATGTGTCTGATTCAATACACGCAATGAGGAGCTTATAAATACCCCTTTTCAGCTCATTTACTCTTCTTCCTCATTTCAACTTTTTTATAGCTTCTTTCTTACACAGAACAACAAATCCTTTCATTCTTCTTCAGAAAAACTCTATTTTCATCCATGGCTACCACTTAAGTAATGCCATACAAATCTGACACTAGCAACAACCCATTGACTTTCAAAATTCTTTCAAATGATGATGAGGACGTGAGAGACTACATCCTTGAGCCTCCAATGTCAAATGAGAAGATTTTTATTTGGGCAAAACAAATACTCATCCCTTATTCTTTGAATAACAAACTGTGTGCTTTCTTGGGACCATATTCCACAAAGACGTCACATGTTGTGTAGGTTACATGTTTCTTCCCAGGCTACTCCGTTACCCTGCCCTCTGCGTTTGAAAAATGTACTCTCGATCTATCTTTCATGGTTAAGCATGATCGCGTGTTTCAATCTGCACCTCCTACTCCAAGCAAAGAGTACATAGACTGGCTTGATAAGTTTCAATCCCAAAGGCATGAACAATGGGAAAAACTAGGTATCTATGACATGGTTGACATCTCTAGGACTAACCTTAAGTATAACTCGGCCATGTTGTTGGCTTCGATCTTCTTTTGGGAAGGATCGATCAATACTTTCCAATTTCTGCGTGGCATGTTAACACCGACTATGTTTGATGTAGCTTCTATAGGCTTAAATCCTTTAGGATCAACTTTCTCTCTAACCCTAAAAACCCAACATGAATTCAACATCGAACGCCCTACTTACAAAAACTTTATTCTCAACTATCTGACAAAGCAAATGACGAAGTATCCTACCAAGAGCGCATAGCTTTCTTGACATTTTGGTTATCATATTATGTTTTTTTGCTCTATTTCTCTACAAGTGGCCAAGAAATTTGTTCCTCTCTCCATCCAGCTTCATGAAGGTCGAAAGATTTCTTTGAGTAAACTCCTTTTGGCCAACCTCTACCAATCACTTGGAGAGGCCTCTTATAAACTGAAGCACCTCCCTGAAACCAATAAGTCATTCCTGATGTCATGTCTCTTTAGGCTCTTGCAATTGTGGTTGAACGCCACTTTTGAACCAAGACTTTATGTCACCACGTCTGAAGCTTTAATAAGACAAGACAAAGGCAGAGCCATCGAAGGTACCAGGTTGGCTTTGATCACCCCCCCCCCCCAAGAAGATCCAATCCCAAGGATTCTCCTAAAGTACATCAACTTGTTTCGCAAATCATCAGTCTTTGATGGGTCGATGGATCCTTTGGTGGATCTCCTTGTTGGCCCGTCCTGGCTTAGAAACAAATTTCTTAGTGTTTCTCCTTCAACGACTGTTATTTCGAACATGATTTGGGCAGCCTTTCTGACCCCTACACTTATGTCAACAAGATTCAAAACTGGAACTCTTGGTTATGGCTCTGCTGGTTACCCTTCTAACTTAGTGGCCTGACAATTTTACTTTAGCCAATGCCAACCTCGCTCTCTTTATGTTTGCGAAGAAGACATTTGTTGGTCAGAATGCAAATTCAGTTTTGAACACTACAAACATTGCACCATATTTGCTCGCAACCAAGTTCTCGAACTCCTTACTTTTCAGTTCCAACAATCATTTTTCATGATAGTCGAATTCTACAACTGGTGGACGAAGTATTTCACTAGCCACCTCTTTGAGGAAGATTTTCGCAAAAGGCTATCGGATTCCCTCTCCAACATGCTAGAGCATCAAGAACAACAAGGTATACCTCTCAATCATCGTCTTCAACTTGCTTTTATTTTTTTCTCATTCTTCTACTTTCAGATGAATCTGAAGCCCCAGCTGATAAGAACGTTGAAGTACCTTTTGAGCAGGAGAGGTAAGGCAGATAGAAGAGCCTAAGAAAAAGGTATGTATTTCTTCTTAAACTATTTTACTACCTAAACTAGTCCTCACAGTTTTCCTTTTTTGGATTCGAAAATGTGATCTTGATTCCCCTACCAAAAAATCCAAAAAGAAGAAGAAGAAGAAGAAGACTACCACGACTTCAACTCAGGTATACTCAATAATCATATGTACACTTATTATCCTCTAAACGTGTGTCTAAATCGAACTAATCTTTTCAAGTTACTTCGAACCCAACCAAAATTCTAGTAGAAAAATAAAGTTCGAAAGACAATGAGGAGCCCCTCATTTTTTCAAGGTCGAGGCCTAAAGCTTCCCCGAAACCAACTGCCGACCACAAGAAGAAAGGAACTCGTACACAATCCAAATCTAAAAAAGACAACTTTAACACCACAGTTGCTCCCTCTACTACAACCAAAATAAAAAATACTACTACAGAGAAAGTCAGTAGGGACGGAGAAAAGAGACAAGAGAAGACTCAGAATCCTCCACCTCCTACTAACGAAGCAATTACTACACCTCAAGGGACCATATAATGTCTTTATTGCTTTGTAAAGGGTCAAGTATTTAAAGGATGTCAATAGACACTTATGGTTGTGTTATTACCAAATAATAACGCTTGTATGATATTACTCTAGATATATATTATACGGGTCGGTACAGTTGGTATCAGTGTAGGCCGATTCTCGACCTAGCCTTGAAACATCATAAGTAAATCTATTTCTTCCTCATATGTGTGTTATGCCAACATTATTCTTAATATCATTGTATGTAACATTGGGTCTGATCAACCTAATGTTATGTGTGTGGGTAGGTGGGATCATGGTTGAGTGACCGCGAGGACTCCAAAGTGTTGGTAGAACTTGTGCTTTGAGGGTAGGCTCGGACCAAGAGTTAGAAAGTAAGGAGAAACATTTAGCTCATTTGATGTTTTAGTAGGAGATGTGATTCGGGTAATGTGGAATTGAAGAGTAGTGTATGGTTCAAGCAATTATATAGTGTTGATGGAGTCGAAAAGTTGAGGATTTATATCGGATGAAGTGTTGGAGTTTTGAGAAATATGTGAATCGTCTAATAGAATAAGTTTGACTCAATGGTATGGAATAAGTATTGTAAGAAATTACATATAGTGAATCAGAAAGGATGGTCTTGTTGCACGTATGACATAAAGTCTAGAAGTAAGGTAGTTTATGAGTGTTTCAATTTCTAAGGTCACTATGGCATTTTGGTAGAACGAGAGTATTTCAGAGAGTATGTTCATAATGGTATCTTCCAATTGCTTGAG